TTAGCACTAAATGATATTCCATTGACTGGATGTACCACAGTTTATCCGTTCACCTACTGAAGGATGTCTTAGTTGCTTCCAGCTTTGGGTAATTATGAATAAAACTGCTATAAATATTTATTTCCTGGTTTTTGTGTGGACATATTTTTCAGCTCTTTTGGGCAGATACCAAGGAGCACAGTTGCTGTATCACATGGTAAAAGTGTGTTGATTTGTACAAGAAATCACCAGACTCTCTTCCAAAGTGGCTGTACCATTTAGCATTCTCACCACCAACAAATGAAAGTTCCTGTTGCTTCTCATCCCTGTCAGCATTTGATGTTGCAGTGTCTGGATTTTGGCCATTCTAATATGTGTGCAGCGGTGTCTCACTGTTTTAATTTGCATTTTCCTGATGACACAGGATGTGGGGCATCTTCTCATGTGCATCTTTGACATCTGTCTGTCTTTTTTGGTGAGGTGTCTTTTAAGGTCTTTGGTCCATTCTTTAATCACATTGCTATTGAGTTTTAAGAATATATTTATTTGTGTATTTACATAGTAATCCTTTATATCTTTTGCCAAGATTTATTCCTAGTCTGTGACTTGTCTTTTAATTCTCTTGATATTGTCTTTAGCAAAGTAGAAAACACACATTTGATTGAAGTCCAGCTTGTCAGTTCTTTCTTTCACGGACTGTGCCTTTGGTGTTGTAATATAAAAAGTTATTATCAAACTCAAGATCATCTAGGTGTTCTTTCTCCTGTGCTATCTTCTAGGATTTTTGTAGTTTTATATTTTACATTTAGGTCTGTGATTCATTTTGAGTTAATTTTTGTGCAGGACATAAGGTCTTTGTCTGTATTTACTCTGTGTGTGTGTGTATGTGTGTGTGTGTGTGTGTGTGTTTTTATGTCCAGTTATTCCATCTCCCTTTGTTGGAAAAACTTCCTTGCTCTATTGTGCTGCCTTTGCTGGTTTGTCAAACATCAGTTGACTCTATGAGTCTATTTCTGGGCTTTCTGTTCTGTTCCATGGATCTATTCACCAATAAGACATTGTTTTGTTTACTGTAGCTCTATAGTAAATCTTGAAGTCGGGTGGTGTCAGTCCTCCAACTTTGCTCTTCACTTTGAGTATTATGTTGGACATTCTGGGTCTTTTGCCTCTCCATATATACTTTGAACCAGTTGGTTAATATCTACAAAATAACTTGTGGTTTTGACTGGGACTGCATTGAATTTATAGATTAGGTTGAGAAGAACTGACATCTTGACAATATTGAGCCTTCCTATCCACAAACATGAAATATCTCTCCATTATTTAGTTTTAAATGTCATCAGAGTTTCATAGTTTTCCTCATATAGATCTTGTGTATATTTTGTTAGATTTATACATAAGTATTTCTTTGGGGTGCTTATTTGTTTAGAGATAGGGTCTTGCTGTCACATAGGCTGAGGTGCAGTAGTCCAGGCTGGAGTGTGGTGGCTCAGTCATAGCTCTCTGCAGCCTCAAGCCATCTTTCCAAGTAGCTAGGACTACAGGTATATACCACCATGCCCAACTAATGCATTTTTTATTAGTTACTCATTTTTGTAGGGATGGTGTATTTAGTCTGTTCTCTCATTGCTATAAAGAACTATCTGAGACTAGGTAATTTATAAGAAAAGAGGTTTAACTGGCTCATGGTTCTACAAGCTCTACAGGAAACATGCTGGGGAGACCTCAGGAAACTTACAATCATGGCAGAAGGGGAAGGGGAAGCAGGCATGTCTTACATGGCTGGAGCAGGAGGAAGAAAGAGAGGAGGGGGAGGTGCTATACACTTTTAAACAACTGGATCTCATGAGAATTCACTCAATATCATGAGAACAGTAAGAGGGAAGTATGCCCCCATGATCCAGTCACCTCCTCCAATATTGGTGATTACAATCCGACATGAGATTTGGACAGGGACACAAACCCAAACCATATCAGATGGGGTCTTGCTGTGTTGCCCAGGCTGGTCTCAAACTCTTGGCCTCAAGTGATCCTCTCACCTCAGCCTCCCAAAGTGTTGGTGTTATATGAGCCACTGTGCCCAGCTGGGGTGCTAATTTAAATGGCATTGTGTTTTTAATTTCAAATTCCACTTGTTTGTTGCTAGTATGTAGGAAAGCAATTAGCTTTTATATATTAACCTTGTATCCTGAAACCTTGCTGTAATTGCTTATTAATTCCAGGAATTTTTTATTCTTTTAGATTTTCTACATAAATAATCATGTCATTAGCAAACAAAGACAGTTTTATTTCTTCCTTCCCAATCTGTATACCTTTTATTTCCTTTTCTTGTCTTATTGCATTAGATAGGATTTTTCCAGTACAGTACTAAAAAGGAGTGGTTCAAAGGACATCTTGCCTTGTTCCTGGTGTTAGTGGGAAAGCTTTGAGTTTTTCACTACCAGGTATGATGTTAGTTGTAGGGTTTTTATAGATATTCTTTACCAAGTTGAGGAAGTTTCCTTTTACTCTTGGTTTACTGTGTTTCTATCAATGATGGATGTTAAATTTTCTCAAATGCTTTTTCTGCATCTATTAATATGATCATGTGAGTTTTCTTTTTCAGCTTGTTAATGTGATAGATTACATTAACCCATTTTTGAATGTTGAACCACTCTTGCATACCTGAGATAAAGCCTGCTTGGTTGTGGTATATAATTATCTCTATACCTACTTTGATTCAATTTTCTAATATTTTTATCTATGTTAATGAAAGATAATGGCCTGTAGTTTGTTTTTAATTGTAATGTCTTTGTCTGGTTTTGATAATAGGATGGTGCTAGCCTCACAGAATGAGTCAGGAAGTAATTCCTCTGTTTCTGTCTTCTAGAAGAGACGGTAGAGTACTGATATAATTTTTTCCTTAAATGTTTGATAGAAATTACTAGTGAGCTTAATCAAGCTTGGTGCTTTCTCAATTATTGATTCAATTTCTTTAATAGATATTAGCTTATTTGGAGTGTCTGTTTCTTCTTGAGTTTGACAGCTTGTATTTTTCAAGTAATTAGTCCATATCATCTAAATTATCTACTTTATAAAGATGTATTTCCTGGTCATAGATAATTTTTCAATTTCAGTAAACTAGTAGAGGTTCTTTTTTCTTTCGGTATTTAAAGTTGTCACTCCATTATCTTTTGGATTGCATGTTTTCTGAGAAGTTTGCTGTCACTGTTACATTTATCCCTCTGCAGATGTTTCTTTTCATCTGGCTACTTAATGATTTTCTCTTTATTTTGGAGTTTCAGCAACTTAACTGTGATGTACTTAGATGTGTTTTTCTTTGAACTAATCCTGCATGGAATGCTCTAAGCTTCTTGAATCCATAGTGTTCTGTCTTGCATGACTTTTGGGCAAGTCTCAGCGATTCTGTCTTCAAATACTTCTCCTCCCTTGTTCTCTGTTCTTCTTTCCCTCTCTGACTCCAGTCATCCATACTTTAGTTTGATATTGTCCCAGAGTTGTTGGTTGGTTTCTTCTCTTTATATTTCCAGATTGTTTTCTGTGCTGTATCCAATTAAAAATTGTTCATCTCTAACATATTTTTTCTTGCATTTTGGTTTTTTTCTATAGTTTTCAGTGTTTGGCTGAAATTTTCTATCTGTTAGTATGTTGTCCACCTTTTCAACTGTAACTTTATAATGTTCACCTTGGTTATTGTGAAGTCTCTGTTTGATGGGTTCTAACATCTGGGTACATTACTCATTGGTCTGTTTCTGTTGACTGCTTTATCTCTTGATAAGGAGCCATTTATTTGCCTTGCTTTTTTGTATCCTAATTTTTTTACTGAATGCTAGACCTTGTGTGTAATTGGATAGTGGACACTGAGGTAAATAGTATGCCTAGCAAAGAGCCTGCCTTTCATTCTGTTGAGTTGTTAGTGTAGAGTGGTGTGGTGGGCTGCTGCTTGCTGCTGGTGTGAGGCCTGGAGCTCCGAAAAGTACTTCTCAGTGTTCCAGCAGCCTCAGACACAGCATTCAGGAGGCTCTGCCACCTCTATCTCCTGTGCCTGTGCAACGGGGGAGGAGGAGAAAGAGCCTCTGCACTCCAGTGGTAGGCTGCTGTTACTTGGTGCAGGGCTTGTGGAAGGGGTGGTGGGATTTATCAGGGTTTCTTGTGTTTCAGCCTCAGTCTTGAGCAGGCCTTGTTGGTCTGAGCCTCATGGGTGGGGTGTTATCAGGTGTTCTTTTTAGTGGAGGTTTTCATGGCATATCCTGCTTTTTTCTTCTACCTCTGTACACTATGTGGAGATTGATTTGAACATTGTTAGGAAAGGGCCCTTTCAAAGATACTGCCATTTTTGTGTTAAGACGCTAGCATTCTACAGAGTGATCTTTGAAGAGTGTAGCTCTGACCCTGACCCTGCTTAAAACCCCTCTAATGTACCCCATGGCCCCCTCAGGTCAAAGTCTTTGAGCTCTACAGTCTCCTGCCTCTCATGCTGATCTTCAGTTATTTGAGTTTTGTCCTTCTCCTAGGCCTAAACCATCAGTTTTGAGAGTAGATGTCTTTCTATGTATTGCTAGAGGAACTGGGTAGGGCAGGAAACAGTGCTAGCACATGGTAGGGGCTGAGCCCACTATCTTGAAAGGATGAGAACAAGTACCCTATTTTCTCTCTCCCTTGGAAAGCCCTTTGCTCCCCCGCGTTCCGGCAGGTGGACTCCAGCCCAGTCTCCAGGTTCACACGCACAGCACAGGGGGAAGCATTTTACCCCTCAGTTGGGGGAGGGGCCTTTTTGCTGCCCCACCCACCATCCTGTGCCTGTCCATCCTGGCACATATAAAACAGTTCTGAAATTCCTGTGTGCCCCTCACTTCCTCCTCTTCGTTTCTTTGAGCAGCCACCGTTGGGCTGGGCTTGCTGCACCCTGCCCTGGCAGGGCATTGGCGAGCATGCCACACCGGTGTGGCTGCCTCAGCTTGGGACCGATTCTGCACGTGCATGCCGATTTACGATTTTTAAAGCTCCTTTTCCTATTGTAGGGAGAACTGAGTCATCTCATTCCCCTCCGTGGATCAGAGGACTTGGACTAGATAGAAGCATGTGGTGTCTCCTACGAGGCCTGAGCCGGCCTGGAGCCCTGGCATGGGGAGCCATGGGGCGGCAGCAACCCCCCGGTACCCGGACCCTGGCCAGCACGGGCTCCGAGATCCGGGACGAGTACAGCTACGTGGTGGTGGGTGCGGGCTCGGCGGGCTGCGTGCTGGCCGGGAGGCTCACGGAGGACCCTGCCGAGCGCGTGCTGCTGCTGGAGGCGGGGCCCAAGGACCTGCGCGTAGGGAGCAAGCGGCTCTCGTGGAAGATCCACATGCCCGCGGCCTTGGTGGCCAACCTGTGTGACGACAGGTACAACTGGTGCTACCACACGGAGGCGCAGCCGGGCCTGGACGGGCGCGTGCTGTACTGGCCGCGCGGCCGCGTCTGGGGAGGCTCCTCGTCCCTCAACGCCATGGTCTACGTCCGTGGGCACGCCGAGGACTACGAGCGCTGGCAGCGCCAGGGCGCCCTCGGCTGGGACTATGCGCACTGCCTGCCCTACTTCCGCAAGGCGCAGGGCCACGAGCTGGGCGCCAACCTGTACCGGGGCGCCGATGGTCCGCTGCGGGTGTCCCGGGGCAAGACCAACCACCCGCTGCACCGTGCGTTCCTGGAGGCCACGCAGCAGGCTGGCTACCCGCTCACGGAGGACATGAACGGCTTCCAGCAGGAGGGCTTCGGCTGGATGGACATGACCATCCATGAAGGTGTGGCCTCCCTTCCCATCCACCTGCCTTTTCTCTTTTTAAAAGCTCTCTTCCCTACCCCAGCTCCCGCCCATGTCAGCCTAAGCTCCAGGCTCCTGGCTCCAGCATGGTCAGCAGGCATGGACACACTGAGCCTGGCATGAGCAGGAAGGGATGTGGCTCGGTACACCCCAACAGAATACAACCCAGAGTCGTGAGTGATACACGGTGGTGACCTGTGTTCTCTACACCTCTGGCCCCTGTTTGTGTGGATAATGGAAAATCAGCTCTCTGGACGGCCCAATGTTCTCTAGGGACTTATGGATGGGGAAACAGGCACACTGAGTGGTGAAGGACCATGCTCACAGCAGGGCAGAGGCAAGCCAGGGCTGACCCAGGGCTCCTGCCTGCCTCTTCAAGGCTCTCAGCCCTCTGGCTGAGAGGTGAAGGTACTTTTAAGGGTGAAGGGTACTTTTCCACTTGTGTCCAGGGGACCCCAGGCAGCTGTGGACTTCTGTAGGGCAGGTTCTTTCTGTCCCAGCTTTAAAGGCAGGTCTTGCAGTCAGAGCTGGGCATATCCACTCTTTCCCCAGCTCCTTCCTCCTGCCCAGGTAGCAAGGGAGGGTGGGGCCGTGCCTGACTACCTCACTCCATCCTGCAGGCAAACGGTGGAGCACGGCCTGTGCCTACCTGCACCCAGCACTGAGCCGCACCAACCTCAAGGCCGAGGCCCAGACGCTTGTGAGCAGGGTGCTATTTGAGGGCACCCGTGCAGTGGGTGTGGACTATGTCAAGAATGGGCAGAGCTGCAGGGTGAGTAGACTGCAGCCACGGTCCTGGCAGAAGGGAGTGGGCAGTGACCCTGGTGGTTCAGCTCAGAGGGGGCAGGACTCATGCCCTCACCCCCAGCCCTGTATGCTGGTACCTGTGATGGGGGGGGGTGGTGAGCAGCTGGTGGCAGTGGGCTGGTGGAGGTGAGGAAGCCCCCAGTCCTACCACCTGCAGAGAGCCCCCGGTGTCAGTGCCCCTGTGTGCATGCCTAATTCAGAGCCTTCCACACCATTTCAGGGCACTGACCTCACAGGAAACTACAGGTTTACACTAGAGGTTTTTAAACCCATATATGTGATCATACTTTATATTTTTGCATTGTTGGCAGGGGGTCAGATTGTTTTGCACCTTCACGTGTAGATCTGGTTTACTGCTTGCTTTAGACCACTCACTTGAATGTCTGTTTTCATTTATCTCATGTAAGCCGACCCCTCCTGTTTCTAAGGCCATCACTACTGTCTAGCTGTAGTTGCACCTGTTGGTTGCTTTCAAATAGTGACTCAGTGAGCCTCCTCTTCTTGACTCTGGGGCCTGTGAGCAGGTGCTGTACAGCAGTTGCTGTGTCCCGGCGTGCCACATGCATTCCACATCCCAAGGCCATGTTCTCATGGTGCTGGTTAGAGCAGGACACTGGTGAGTCAGGAGAAGAGCTGGCTTTTCGGGGAGTGTGACCTGGTCAGACCTCTGTCTCTTCCAGGCTTATGCCAGTAAGGAGGTGATTCTGAGTGGAGGTGCCATCAACTCTCCACAGCTGCTCATGCTCTCAGGTGTCGGGAATGCTGACGACCTCAAGAAACTGGGCATCCCTGTGGTATGCCACCTGCCTGGTGAGCCCCCTTCTTTACTGCTCCCCAGGGGCTGTCTCTGCTCAGCAAATGGCTTAGTGTATCTTAATAGCATGGAGTGTGGAGGTGGTGGCAGTCAGTGCTCCTTGGAACTGTCACATCGTCTCCGTGAGCCGGAAGGTCACCCCTGGGTCCCAAGCTTTGTGTTGCTTTCCCTCTCTCTTCACCGGCCATCCTATTTCACTTGGAGAAGGGCATCTTGCAGCAGGGAGCATCTGCCCATGAAGTCCCGCTGGGTCAACCATGGGTGTGTCACCAGGGCAGCTCTATGGTGAGAGGGGTCCAGGCCTCGTCTTTCCATCCACAGGACTCGCCAGCTGCCCTGAGCATGAATGAGGTCAGCTCAGTGCTCCAGAGCCTGCTCTCCCTGTTAAGACCTAAACTTGATTTTATAAACTGTCTCTGATGCCCTTGAGGGCCAGGCTCTGTCTCTTGCCCCCCCGTAACCTCACTCCAGGAGGGCTGGGCCTTTGTGCATTTAGGCTTCATCATGAGGGGCCTGGGGAAGTGCTGCTTCATGACAGTGACCTCCCCAGTGTGCCCAAAGGCTTGGATGAACTCATGCAAGGGCTGCATAGCACGACAGGGCTGCTTCCTCCTTCCCCACACTGGGGCGAGGATGGGGCTGCTCTCTGCCCCTCTGGCCATCATCATCCAGGCACTGCTAAATAAGCAGTGCCTGCTGAAGGTGTGGGCCCTGCTGTCATGGAGGGGGGCTGCTGAGCAGGGCTGACAAGGGGCACCCAGAGGCTGCCTTGGGAGTAAGTGACAAGGACAGGTGGCCTTGGCAGCATCCGAGGCAGGCCATACTTGGCCAGGAGTGCAAGAATGGTGTCTCTGAGAGGCAGCCTTTAAACTGAGACCAGTCTTTGAACTGAGCTCCTGCTCGGTCCAGAAGATAAGTGAATAGGGGAGAATTTTTAAAAACCAGGGGGATATTGAGAAGCAGCTGAGCTCCCTTGATAGCCATTTTCTTACCCATTCCCTCCCATATCAGGGGTTGGCCAGAACCTGCAAGACCACCTGGAGATCTACATTCAGCAGGCATGCACCCACCCCATCACCCTCCATTCAGCACAGAAACCCCTACGGAAGGCCCGCATTGGTCTGGAGTGGCTCTGGAAATTCACAGGTGAGCACACTCATCGGTAACCTGGGAGGAGACTATGAACATTGAAACCTCCTTCCTCAGGAGCTGAGCAAGGGTTCTGGCCACTGCGTGCTGCGTTGATGCTGAACTGTGCCATTTACCTTAGCTCTGAGTCTCAGTATTTCCATCTTCAAAATGGGAATGCACAGTTTCAACCTGATGGGTTGAAGTGAGGACAGGAAGCAATAGCACGTGCCAAGGAGCTTGGCCCAGGGCCTGCTCAAGGTGAGACTCCTCAGGGCTTAGGGGCTGCTCTTCCTTACAGATGGGCAGGGATGGCATAGTGCTACACAGCAGGTGAGGTCCAAGGAGCCAGGAGAAAAGGTGGAGAGAGGAGACTTTGGGGCTAGACTGCAGAATCACCATTCATCTTTCAACCTTTTCCATTTGATTTCTAGCTGCACCTGGGCCAGGAAATGATAGTTTGAAATCCTGCTCATCCACTCAGCCTGTATTTCTCACACACCTGCTATGCACTGTGTGCTGTACTAGGTGGTGGGAAGAGCCAGGAAAGCAGGTGGTGTTGGCAATGGCAGAATTGGCCCAGGTAGAGGGCAGAGCTGATGCCCCCACTTTAGGCAAATAGTTGACATTTTATGGTGTGGTGCTGGGTGAGCCTCCTGTGGGGGGTGAACTGGACTTGGGTCCAGTCACCAGGAGGGAAGCCAGGAACAGCTGGCCCACCTGCCACGCCCTGACTTGCTCTTCTGCCTCATCCTCTTTTGCTCCTCAGGGGAGGGAGCCACTGCCCATCTGGAAACAGGTGGGTTCATCCGCAGCCAGCCTGGGGTCCCCCACCCGGATATCCAGTTCCATTTCCTGCCATCCCAAGTGATTGACCATGGGCGGGTCCCCACCCAGCAGGAGGCTTACCAGGTGAGCAGGGGGAGGAGCCTTGGCTCCCCGGGGTGTTTTCTTCCCACCATCCAGGAAGGAAGATGCTCTCATTCTCCAAGGCAGCATTCTCCCTGGTGCCACATGGCTGCAGAGTTGGGGGCATAGAGGCCTGTCCCCTGCCTTCCAGCTGTCCAGCATGTCTGGGTCGGGAGAGGAGAGCAGGGAGGGAGACCAGCAAGTCACTCTTTGTGGTGCGTGCCAAGCGTATGACTGGTCCATGCAGACAAGGTCCTGAGTGCCAGAAATGGGACAAACGGGGGTGCTGACTTGGCCCTAGGATCACCACCTCTGAAAGCTTTGAACCATGGAGTATGAGGCCAGGATGAAAGAGTGATTCACCGAGGTGGTTTGTAATCACTTTGTGGAGGTGGGTACCATGCGGGCAATGCCTCCACTCCCCACTGACTCTGGAAGCAGAGGCCCACTCTGCAGGTAAACCAGGGTTTGTAGCGGTCACTGTAGATGTCTATGGAGGGATTATCACTGCTTCCTCTGTGTTCTCCTAGGTACACGTGGGGACCATGCGGGGCACGAGTGTGGGCTGGCTCAAACTGAGAAGTGCCAATCCCCAAGACCACCCTGTGATCCAGCCCAACTACTTGTCAACAGGTAATTCAGCCACCTGCATCTGCTTGGCCCTGGGCTTGAACACACGAATGCCTTGTAAGGTTCCTGCTTGTCCCTGAATCATACCCTTGGACTATACTTTCCAAGACAAAGGTGACCCTCTGTCATCCCCCGCCCCATCACTTCAAGTTGTAAACTTGCTTCAGCAGCCCTGTCGTGTCCTAGGACACATGAAATGACCCCGGGGCTTCATTTTAGGCAGCAGGGGAGATTTGCATCTTTCAGAACAATCTGCCACGAGGTGAGGGAGACCGCGCCGTGCGGGTGCCAGGTCTGTAGCTAGAGCATTGTTCCTGTTGTTACTCTGAGCAGCCTCTAAAAGCACATTCCATTTCTGGGCCTGCCTCTTTGCATGCAACAAAAATGAGCACTGCCCACTGGGCGGGTTTTGCCCAGCAGTGGCTGCAGGGTACTCACAGCAACCCTGTGGCAGGGGCAGGGTATGTGTTCTTATCCCTGTCCTACAGATAAATCAGACCCCTGATTTCAACCTGGGCCTCTGGGCAGGCTGTGTCCATATAGGATGCTGACTTTGAGCTGCACGGTACAGTCTAACCAGCAGGTGACAAGCAGCCTGCTGGCTCAGTCCCCCATGACCCTGAACTTTGTCCCCAAACACCATCTCCTCAGACAGCTTATAGAGCTTCTCCATGCCATGAATCTTCCAGTGAGGCCAGCATGGCAAAAGGAGGGGTTTTCACCTGTTTCTTCTCAACAGAAACTGATGTCGAGGATTTCCGTCTGTGTGTGAAGCTCACCAGAGAAATTTTCGCACAGGAAGCCTTGGCTCCATTCCGAGGGAAAGAACTCCAGCCTGGAAGCCATGTTCAGTCAGATAAAGAGATAGATGCCTTTGTGCGGGCAAAAGCCGACAGTGCCTACCACCCCTCGTGCACCTGTAAGATGGGCCAGCCATCTGATCCCACTGCTGTGGTGGATCCGCAGACAAGGGTCCTCGGGGTGGAAAACCTCAGGGTTGTCGATGCCTCCATCATGCCCAGCCTGGTCAGCGGCAACCTGAATGCCCCCACCATCATGATTGCAGAGAAGGCAGCTGACATTATCAGAGGGCGGCCTGCACTCTGGGACAAAGATGTCCCTGTCTACAAGCCCAGGACACTGGCCACCCAGCGCTAAGACAGTTGCTGCTGGAGGATGACTGGGGAAGCCCCCTGATGAGCCAAGAGCGCCAGCACAGCCCTTGCTCCCAGGCTCCTTCCAGAAACTGTCTAGCACTAGAATCCAGGTGGCTGAGAATGGCTACTTATCATACCTGTCCTTTTATCCCTACTCAGTAGCTGAGAATGGGATAAACTCTTGGGAAATGAGACAAATACTGGGCAGTGGATCAAGCTCCTTTTCCCCAGACTTTCCCTGTGGGCCGCTGGGGAAGGCCAGCATTCAGGCTGAGATGCTCCTCCCTGCCTCCTGGAGGGACAGCAGGGGAGGAGGGTTAACTCCTGCCGCATCCTTTGTCTTGTGTTCACTTGGCGTTCTCTAACCCAGGGGAGTGGTTCCTTCCCAGGGCGTGCACAGAAGCTGGGTGCCAGCCAGATAGCACAGGTTCACCAAGGAAGAGGCATCCTCCTCCTTGAGCTGCAAGCTTTAGCTGAGGCAAAGAGTCACACAGTAGTTAGTTCAGCCTGGGCTGGCACATAAGTCCCCAGTGTCCCTGATCAGAGGGGAAAGTTACCTGCTGGTAGAAAAACTGACTTTCCCTTTCTCTCTTCCTAATTTCACTCTTAGAGTCAGGCAGGTAACTGGGGCTCAGCTGGGTCACTCTGAGAGAGTTGTGGCCCACCTCTCTGAATCTCTGGTTCTTATTAAACCAGGGCCAGGTATAGTGGCTCACACCTATAATCCCAGCACTTTGGGAAGATCACTTGAGCTCAGGAGTTCAAAACCAGCCTTGGCAACATAGTGAGACCCTGTCTCTGGAAAAAAAAAAAAAAAAAATAGCTGGGCATACTGGTATACACCTATAGTCCCAGCTTCTTGGGAGGCTGAGGCGGGAGGACAGCTTGAGCCCAGGAGTTCGAGGCTCTTGTGAACCCTGATCGCACCACTGCACTCCAGCCTGGGTAAGAGTGAGACCCTGTCTCAAAAAAAAAAAAAAAAAAAAAACTTCTGAGATTTTTTGGACCTTATTTAAGGAGACAGAAGTCTGGAGGGAATGTCACTTGGCTTCACTACCAAAGGTTTCATGACTTCTTAGCATTTTAAAAGGTTTTCCTTTTATCAAGAAATGCAGAAACCCAGAGCAAACCCCACATACCAGATCACTGCTTCCTACTGAAGCAGCTAGTCTGAGAAAGGACTCTCCCATATTGGGCTTGGGAAATGAGTTGGCAGCCTGAGCTGCCCCAACAGTGGACAAGGCTGGTTAATTCTTATTCTCTAGACGTCCACAGGAGCAGACCAGGATCGAAAACACGGTTAAGCGCAGTTAAGTACAGCCCCTGTTCCTGTAGAAATGCCACTGAAAGAAAAATTCAAGATTGGAGTTTTGTAGGAAAAAAAGACACAAGTAGCATTTACAACAACTCTTTGCTCTTTAAATTTCTTACCATTCAATAAAGTAATCCAGTCACTTACATTTGAACTGAGATGCCTTCTCCAGACCGATCCGAGGTAATGAACATGAAATGCACTAGGATTCTTCCAAAGACAACCACAACCACATCCACATCCACTGTCAAGAGCTGGAAAGAAAAGCGTTGTTACGTGGAAACCACTGTACTAGGCCTAGAGTAAGGACAGGAGCGAATTGGGGGATTCCAGGCTTTGCTGGGATTGGAGGGGACTAAGGTAGCTTACAGACTTTGGGGACCTGACAGCCACAACTTAGGTTTTTGAGAAAAACCTTCTAGAAAGGCAGAATGGAAGAAACCCATCACACCTCTCCTTTTAAAAATCTTAAGCAGCTCTTGTTTAATCTTACCTGTATTTTTTACTTTTATTTTTTGTTCCAAGAGAGGGTCACGAAAGAAAATTCTAAACCTGCCAAGAGATTTATTTCTCCTACGGAGGGTCCCTACCTGCCCCACAGCAGCAGTCCATGGGCATGAGTCACCGGCGTCTCAGGGCTGCCTGCAGGATTGCAGGAACCGCAGTTCAGGTGCCAGTCTCAGGGCTCGGAGGGCCTCGTGCAGCCTTCCTGCTGGAGCATGTGTAGACTCAGGGACAGGAGAGGGTCCCGGGCCAGCTATAACTGCTGACCCTTCTTTGGAACACGTATGGATACGGCAGGGTGACAGTCACTTAGTTCTATCTCTGTGTCCCATGGTGTGTCAGCCTATGAGATCATGGTCGCTTCAGTCCAGTGGCTGTATTTTAAAATAAGCAAAATGTCATGTGGTAAGAGGAGTTCATTGGGAGTGCTGCTCAGTTGCACCAGGCCCTTCTCTCTGAAATACTTAGTCATGTTCTATACAGTTGTACAATTTGGCCATAAACAGAAATGAGGTTCAAAAGAAAAGATGGTGTGTCGCATGTCCAGAACCTGAGAGTTACCCTGCCATGAAAGGAGCCTTTCACCAAAGGAGGAGAGGCTGTCAGCTGAGGAAACCAGCATGGGGAGAAAGGAACTTGCTACAAAGTGGGATGCACAGAGGACCCTCCATCCTCAGACTCACAGGGAATCAGGCCCCTTGGGAAAAATCCTGCAGTACCTAAACAAATGTTCTTTGCAAACAGTGGTTCAAATAGCACAACAGAATGCTATGCATGTGCCCAGTGCTCTCAGGAGCCCTGACCTGTTGCAGAAGCCTGTGCTGAAGCTGCTGCACTAGTAGAAGGCTGTTCTGATGAAATAGGGGACAGCGGTGGGCTGCATAGGAGCCAAGAGCATCTGCTAGCCCGACAAGAGATGGTGAGCTCCTGAAGCACGAGTTGTAGGCACCCAAGCATCTAGTCTTTCTGCCTGCAGCGTGTGTTGCAGGAATCATCATCTCCACGATTTCAGATTCTTTTTGGCTGGGCTTGGTTCACACCTATAATCCCAGCACTCTGGGAGACCGAGGCAGGTGGATCACTTGAGGCCAGGAGTTCGAGACCCACCTGGCCAACATGGTAAAACCACATCTCTACTAAAAATACAAAAATTAGCTGCGGATGGTGGCACACGCCTGTAGTCCCAGCTGCTCGGGAGGCTGAGACAGGAGAATGGCTTAAACCGGGGTGGCAGAGGCAGCAGTGAGCTGAGATTGCACCACCCCACTCCAGCCTGGGTGACAGAGTGAGACTGCCCCCTCCCGCCAGCCCACGTGCCAAACAAACCAAAAAACAGATTCTTCTCCAGCCAACAATGTCCCACCACTTAGAGGTGATTTCACGCTTCTACTGATAGCCAGTTTAACATCAGTTCCAATACAGATTTTTTTTAAAGCTAAAATGCCCATCTCTACTGGCCCTGTTTAGTGGCCCAGGCTGTCCCCACAGGACATCCCCGAGACCACCCTGTCACTCCTGATGTTGGAACCAGGGCCCAGGCCTGCTCCTCATTCTCTCCTGCCCTCCCAGTCCCCAGGAGAGGAGAAGAAATACTGTCTTAGAGAAATAAGAACGTTTTCAACAAAACATCCCTGGTATCAGTTTTCTAGTCAGGGAGTCGAGGCTCTGTGCATGATGTCAGCTCTACTGCTAACCAGTTTTTATAAACCAGCCAGATGCCGTCATAACAATAAAAACCTTTGTAGGAGATGCAATTGGCAAAGACACTTACGACGCCAGTGAGTATACAAGGTGAAACTGCTCCAGTTTTCTTCACAGCAGGGTCAGTAGTAAAGCAAGTGGTGCCCCTGGTCCCATTTCACAAAGGTGAGCCTGCACCGAGAGGTACCGTGGCCCTCACAGCCCACCAGGCCTGGCCTTTGCCCAATTCTGAAACTTCTTAGGACAGAGCTGGGAAGGGACACCTGGCAAAGTGCTATCCAGCTGTCTGGGTGGATGTCAGAGTCCATAGGCTGAGCAGAGATGGTTCTCAGTGAGGTTCTCGATGCCAGTTGATGGTGAAATCGTAGCTGTCATTTACATTTTGTGAGATTATGAAAAACACAAGATTAAAGAAACTAAATATATTATTCTTGTGGACACAAAATGTGTATTTTTCAGGCGGGGAGGGAACCAAAAAGGAAAACCATTTCATCTTAACACTTCCCTAAAACAAAGGGAAACAATAACAACATGATCTACAACTTCACATTTTTCTTACAAAGAGAAATTTAATATTCGATGAGAGGTTGAACCAGGCTTAAAGCAGACAGATATTAGGAAGTGGTGCAGCCTGTAAAAACACCAGTTTTTAAGCACTGACTTTGGAAAAGATCATCGCCTCTACCAGACACTCAGGGTCCTGGTCTCGCAATTTTGGCCTGATGAGAAGCCACACAGTAAGACCAAGACCGAACAGAGACACAGTGTCCAAGATAATGTTGACAGTGGTGTAGCCCTTTAGGAGAAATGGCACTCCCTGCAGCTGGTATGAGGTTACCACGGGCACCGAAGGAGCCAGGAGGATAAGAAAGAATATCTGTCATTTCAGAGCTGCCCTGGCACAGTACCTGCCCTGTCGCAAATGCCAGCTCTGTGCGAGGAGAGCTCCCAAACATAAGAAAATTATTACACAGTTTTATTCTGAAGAACATTTTGCATTTTAATAAAAAAGGATTTATGTCAGGAAAGAGTCATTTACAAACCTTGAAGTGTTTTTGCCTGGATCAGAGTAAGAATGTCATAAGAAGAGGTCTGTAAGGTCTTCATAACAAAGTGGTGTTATTTACAAAAAAAAATTATAATAAAAACAAAACCATTAACAGGTTATCTTTATACTATTAAAAATTTTAGACCAAAATTGCTACCTATCTTTTTGATTGCAGGGAATCCCTGCTAAGGTAACTTGACAGCATACTCCCGTTGACAGAAAAGGAAGCCTTGACGGTTCTAATTATCCAAAAGTGGGTTTTCATCAAGACGTACAATCAGAGTGTGAGTGCATTCTAATGAAAACTTCAGCCCTCATTCAACTGCATATAAAAGCCCTCAAAGAGAACACACAGTACAGCAATGTTGTATAAAAGGCAACAATACGATTTGTACAGACCCCGACATTCCAATCCTATAGATCACCATGTTGCTCCTTTCATCCCCCTACCCCACCACCCCTTATTTCTAAAGCAGCACCACCAGTCCCCAGAAGACAAGAGCAGCTGTACCTCATTCATGTATGCATTTCTGTACCAGAGATGCAAAAACGCCCTGTGTGGGCAGCAGAGAAAACCTAACTATGGATGCCCTCGGGGCAGAACAGCCGGCTGGACCTGCTCTGTAATTAACTTACCAGAGGGTTGTTCACATCAAACAAAACCAAAGACAGCTGCAACCCACCGTGGATCCAAAGGTACAGTATCAAAATCATAGAACTCTTGCCCAAAGAAAAGACTGCAAATAGCCATCTGGTATATCTTGTGGAAAGACAGGTTTATAGTGACTCAAAATATTTTAGAAAAATTTCTGTAATGTCAAGCTCTTTCAAACTTAAAATTTTACCCCCAGAGGATTTTCACTGAGTAAATGAGAATTGGCTCTATTTCTTCTACTTCTGGATAGCCCGAGTAAAAATACTAATGATTTCTAGGTTTCAGTGGGGAACTACAGTTATTAGGACCCATGGATATTGCTGCAGTTCAAATACGGTACAGTAATTACAAAATATAGACCATCTCTTTACAAATACAAATTATAGTATATTACAAGTCATGTACAGTAAATCTATAATTTTAAACAAACTAGTGTATCTAAGTTTACCTGGTTGCGAGTGCATTATTATTCCAGTTTACAGTTGCCCTTAGCATGACAGTCAGAAACAGACCATCGGAGTGATATTCTCGTATGTAAACTGGAGTCACATCACAGAAAACCTTATTTATAAGGTCCATTGCCCTTACAATGACCGCTGGTAGCTGGGTTCTGACTTACGTGCTGTATTTCAGAACAGCTAAACAGGAACCAGGACGCAGTGTATTTGGGGGAAATGGTTTAAAAATGGATATGTTGGGCCCAGTGACTGATATGCTAGACCGATGGCTGAGGTAATGACACAGGTGTGATGGTGGTCATCACCTTTACCTTCCCCACTCCATGCCTTCAGGTGGGTGGGCCTGGTGCCCCGGTGCATGGGAGAAGTAGACTCCACAGTAGGGCCCATCTGGACAATGGGGCAGGGCAGGTCTGCCCTCCTCACCCATCCTCTGTGAGAGGGTGGGCCTGCTGTTCCCTGCAGCTGGGGCTGAGGGCAGGGTGCTCTGCCAGGCTCCACCACTCAGGACCTGTTCCTACCAGGTTTATGGCTTTCTTGAGGCATGACATCTCTTATACAAAAGTCTAATTGAATATTACTCCCAACTAGTGCCTAAACTTTCCTAACTATGAGGCACTTTTCCCCTGGCCCTCCTGTGCCCCACCTGAGGCCAGAGTCAGTCTGCCCCTCGCTGGGGGCTACAAGGTGGTGATGCATATCATTTCATCTGCCAGGTCCTCCTCATCCCTCCCAAGGTCTGGCTCTTCATCGCTGTAGCCAGGACCAAAGTCCTGTAGC